TGGTGTCATATCCAAAGAAACATGGCGAAGGCCAATGTTGAGGAGATTGTTTCCTATGCTTTCTTCTAGTCTTATGGCTTCATGTCTTATGTTTGAGTCTTTGATGCACGTTGAGTTAATTTCTGTGAGTGGTGTTAGGTAGGAATCCAGTTTCATTTTTCTGCATGCGGTTATCCAGTTTATCATTACCATTTGTTGAAGAGACTATCCTTTCCCCACTGGATGTTCCTGGCTCCCTTATCAAATATTAGGTGACTCTAGATGTAGGTGTTTAATTCTGGGCTTTCTATTCTGTTCTGTTGATCCATGTGTTTATTTTTATGCCAATACCATCCTGTTTTCATTACTGTAGACTTGCAGTATAGTTGGAAATCAGGAAATGTGATGCCTCCACTTAGGAGAATTTTGTTTTTCTTTCTCATGATTGCTTTGTCTACTTGGGATATTTTGTGGTTCCATATAAATTTTAGGATTGTTTTTCTACTTTTGTGAAAATGCCCTTGGAATTTTGATAGGGATTGCACTGAATCTATAGATGGCTTTGGGTAGCATGGACATTTTAACAATATTCAGTCTTCCATCTGTGAACACGGGATGCCTTTGTGTCTTCTCTGATTTCTTTCAGCAAAGTCTTGTGTCTTTTGTTATACCGATCTTTTTTTTTTTTTTTTTAAGATTTTACTTATTTGACAGAGAGAGAGAGTGCTCAAGCAGGGGGAGCGGGAGAGGGAGAAGCAGGCTCCCCACTGAGCAGGGAGCCCAACAGGGGCTTGATCCCAGAAAGCTGGGATCATGACCTGAGCCGAAGGCAGACGCTTAACTGACTGAGCCACCCAGGTGCCCCTATTATACAGATATTTCACATCCTTTGTTAACTTGTTCCTATTTTGTTTTTGATACTATTTATTTTTTTCAAATGTTTCAGTATATAGAAAAGCAACTGACTTCTGTGTATTGATTTTATATCCTGTAACTTTACTGAATTCATTGATTAGATCCAAAAGTTTTTCTGTCAAGTTTTTTGGATTTTTCAATATATGAAATCGTATCATCAACAAACAGTAATAATTTTATGTCTTTCTTCCCTACTTGGATCCCTTTTATTTCTTTGTCTTGCCTGATTATTTTAGCTAGGACTTCCAGTACCATATTTAACAAGAGTGGTGAGAGTGGACACTCTTGCTTATTCTGACGTTAGAGGGAAAGCTTTCCATTTTTCCCTGTTAAGTATCATGGTCTTGTCATATATGGCCTTATTATGTTTAGGTGTGTTCCTCCTATGTACCCAACAATCTATTGAGAGTTTTCATCATGAAAGTATGTTGCATTTAGTCAAACACCTTTTCTGCATCTATTGATTTGATCATATGATTTTTATCTTTCATTCTATTAATGTGGTGTATCACATTTATTGGTGTGTGTATGTTGGGCCATCCTTGCATCTCAGGGATAAATCCCACTTGGTCAAGGTGTATAATCCTTTTAATGAATTCTTAAATTCAGTTTTCTAATATTTCATTGAGAATTTTTACATCTATTTTCATCAGGGGTACAGTTTTCCTTTCTCGCAGTGTCCTTATCTGGGTTTGGTATCAGGGTAACGATGGCCTCATAGGATGAGTTTGGGAGTGTTCCCTCCTCTTTAATTTTTTTGGAAAAGTTTGAGGATTGGCATTAATTTTTCCTTAAATGTTTGGTAGAATTTGCCCATGAAGCCATCTGGTCCTGGCGTTCTCTGTGTTGGAAGGTTTGTTTTTGATTACTGATTCAACCCCCTCACTCACTACCGGTTTGTTCAGACTTGCTATTTCTTTCTGGCTCAGTCTTGATAGGTTGTATGATTCTAGGAAATTACCCATTTCTTCTCGGTTATCTAATTTGTTGGCATATAATTGTTCAAAATAGTCTCTTATGATGCCCTGTATTTCTGTGGTGTCACTTATTATTTCTCTTTCATTTCTGATTTTATGTATTTAAGTCTTCTCTACTTTTTTCTCAGTCTTGCTAGGGGTTTGTCCCTTGTGTTTATCTTTTCATAAAACCAGCTTTTTGTTTTGTTGATTACTGCTGTTGTTCTTCTGGTCTCTATTTCATTTATTTCCACACTGACCTTTATTATTTCCTTTCTTCTACTAACGTTGGGCTTAGTTTGCTTTTCTTTTTCTAGTTCCTGGAGGTGTGAAGGTTTTTAAATTTCTATCTTTTTAATCTTTGTGATCTTTCTAATTTCTTTATATGTGCATTTAAAGCTCTATACTGCCTTCTCAGAGCTGCTTTAACAATGGGGCCCCTTGGTGGCTCAATCCATTGAGCATCGACTCTTGGTTTCAGCTCAGATCATGGTCTCAGGGTCATGAGATCAGCCCTGCATTAAGGTCCACACTCAGCCGGGAGTCTGCTTGTGATTCCCTCCCCCTGCCTCTCCCCACCTCTCTAAAACAAATAAATAAATCTCTAAAAAAGAAAGAAAGAAAAAGAAAGAAAGAAAGAAAGAAAGAAAGAAAGAAAGAAAGAAAGAAAGAAAGAAAGAAAGAAAGAAAGAACTGCTTTTACAGCATGCCATAGGTTTTGGTAAGTTGTGTTTCTATTTTCATTTGCTTTGAGATATTCTTGGACTTCCCTTTTGATTTCTTCTTTGGCCCACTGGTTATTCAGAAGTGTATTTGGCTTTTACATATCTGTGTAGATTTTCCAGCTTTCCTTCCATTGTTGATTTCTGGTGTCACACCATTGAGGTCAGAAAAGATCCTTGGTATGACTTCAATCTTCTTGAATTTGCTAAGACTTGTCTTGTGTCCTATCACATGATCTATCCTTGAGGAAGTTCCGTGTACTTGAAAGGACAGGTCAAAACAACCACAATTCCTTGAGAATAGGCCCATTCTGCTCCCTTTTGTACTAAGAACCTATACTGGGAATGCAAGCTGTTGTCTTCAAGGCTCTCACCAAACTGGAGAAAGGGGAATGGGGCATGGGTGGTTAAAACATCACAAAGTTTTACCAAGATTCAGGTAGGGTTTTTTTCCCCTTGATTAAACATTTCCCTAGTGTTGCTATAAACTTTTAATTAGTTTCTAGAGTTATAATAAAGCTGATTCTGACAGTTTTTGCCACTGTATTTCCTGCTTTTGTGTAAGGATGGGCTTTTGGAATTCCCAACTTGCCCATTTTTTGCTGACGGTACTCCTAGACCATTTACATTTTACATAATTATTGATGTAACTGAACTTATGTCTACTATTTTATTATTTGTTTCTTTGTTCACCATCCCTCCATTTCCTCTTTTCTGCATGTTTGGGTTATTTGAACATTTTTTTTAGTATTCCATTTAAATGCATCTTTGTCTTTCTCTGACTGACTTATTTCTATTGTGTTTATAACTATCTTTTTTTAAGTGGTTGCTCTACAGATTATAATATAATTATTTACCTTTTCAGATCTGCTTAGGATAGGCACTTTATCATTTTTTTTAAAAGATTTTATTTATTTGATAGAGAGCGACACAGCGAGAGAGGGAACACAAGCAGGGGGAGAGGCAGAGGGAGAGGGAGAAGCAGGCTTCCTGCGGAGCAGGGAGCGCGATGTGGGGCTCGATCCCAGGACCCTGGGATCATGACCTGAGCCAAAGGCAGACGCTTAACCATCTGAGCCACCCAGGCACCCGGTCTTTTACCCATTTTGAATTTACTTTTGTATATGGTGTAAGAAAGTAGTCCAGTTTCATTCTTCTGCATGTTGCTGTCCAGTTTTCCCAGCACCATTGTTTGAAGAGACTGTCTTTTTTCCATTGGGTATTCTTTCCTGCTTTGTCAAAGATTAGTTAACCATAAAGTTGTGGGTCAATTTCTCGGTTTTCTGTTCTGTTCCATTGGTCTATGTGTCTGTTTTTGTGCCAATACCATACTGTCTTGATGATATAGCTTTGTCATATAGCTTGAAGTCTGGAATTGTGATGCCTCCAGCTTTTCTTTTTCAAGGCTGCTTTGGCTATTCAGGGTCTTTTGTGGTTCCATACAAATTTTAGGATTGTTTGTCCTAGCTCTGTGAAAAATGCTGGTGGTATTTTGATAGGGATTGCCTTGAATGTGTACATTGCCTTGGGTAGCATAGACATTTTAACAATGTTTGTTCTTCCAATCCTTGAGCATGGAATGTTTTCCCTTTTCTTGGTATCTTCTTCAATTCTCTTCGTAAGTGTTCTATAGTTTTCAGAGTACAGATCTTTTACCTCCTTGGTTAGGATTATTCCTAGCTATTTTACAGTTTTTGGTGCAGCTGTAAATGGGATCGATTCCTTGATTTCTTTTTCAGCTGCTTCATTATTGATGTATAGAAATGCAACAGATTTTTGTATGTTGATTTTATATCCTGCAACTTTGCTGAATTCATGTATTAGTTCTAGCAATTTTTTGGTGGTCTTTCAGGTTTTCCACAAAGAGTATCATGTCATCTGCAAATAGTGAAATGGAGCTAGACGGTGTTATGCTACGCGAAATAAGTCAGTCAGAGAAAGACAAATACCATATGATCTCACTCATACATGGAATTTAAGAAACAAAACAGATGAACATATGGGAAGGGGAAAAAGAAAAAGAAGGAGAGAGGGAAACAAGCTATAAGTGACCCTTAATGATAGAGAACAAACTGAGGGTTGATGGAGAGAGGTGGGTGGGGGATGGGCTAGATGGGTGATGGGCGTTAAGGAGGGCACTTGTGATGATGAGCACTGGTGTTGTATGTAAATGATGAGTCTGACTTCTACTCCCAAAACCAATATTGCACTGTATGTTAACTAACTAGAATTTAAATAAAAATTTGAAGGAAAAAAAATGCACTACCCTATAATGTATCTCTTTTTCTGCAATATATATTATCTGTTGTATTATCTATATTTTATATTGCATATATATTACTATATATCACAATTATACATCATTTTTCTTCCTGTGATGATATGAGATAATAAAATGCCTATGTGATAAGATAAAGTGAGCTGAATGATATAGGCACTGTAATGTAGCTTTAGGCTACCACTGACCTTCTGACGATATATCAGGAGGACCATCTGCTTCTGGACCACACTAGACCGCAGGCACCTGAAAACACAGAAAGCGAAACTGCAGATAAGAGGTGACTACTACATTCTATACGTAAGCCCATTTTCGGATATATGTTCAATATATAATTTGCAAATATTTTCTCCCATTCTGTAGCCACCACATTTCCTTCCGCTCTGTTTGGCTTCCCCTCCGAACTCTGCCTGGGTTCCGTCCCCTGTTCTTTCTACTGATGCCGCCACCACCCTGGTTGATGTCTCCTGGATCATCCCCCCGACTCTGCCCTGCCCTATGGTCTTGCTTCCACTTGTAGAAAGACTTAGACTGGACAATAGTCCAGTCTGCAAACAGCAGCTAGTGAGCATTTAAAAAGGACATTGGATCCTTTTCCCCCCCATGTACCACATCCTTCAAAGGCCCTCCATACCTTTCGCAGTAAGCCCAAGCCCCTGACAGCGGGCCCAAGATGGCCCACATCATCTGACCCCTGTTGATCTTACCGTTTCCCTCTTCTATCATTGTCCTCCTTACCCAGCATGCTGCAGCCACAGTGATGTTTTCCCCCGAAACACTGAGCTTGTGCTTATCCCCAGGCCTTCACATCAGCTCCTCCCTCTGCCTCGAGGGCTCTTTGCCCTGTTCTGCGCATTGCTACCCCTTCCATCATTTACAAAGTTAAAATGTCATTGCGTTAGTGGTGCCCGGGTAGTGCAGTTGGTTAAGCGTCCGACCCTTGATTTCGGGTCAGGTCGTGATCTCATGGTCATGGAATCGAGCCCCGCCTGGGGCTCCACACTCGGCATGGAGTCTGCTTGGGATTCTCCCTCTCCCTCTGCCCCTCCTCCTCCTGCGCTCATTCTATCTCTCTCTGAAATAAATAAATCTTTAAAAGGACATGTCACTGCTTTAGACAGACATTCCTTGAACACCAAATCTAAAGTACCTACCTCCATAATCTCTGTGACACCATACTATTTTATTTCTCTGCAGAATAGTTATCACCATATGATATTTTCCCCACTGTTAGCCTGCTTTCACTAGAATATGAGTTTCATGATAGCAGAAACTTTGTCTTGTTTGCTTCTATATCCCTAGTGTCTAGACCCGTGCCTAGCACGTCCCGTAGGGTCAATAAATTCTCACTGAATGTCTGCACCATGGCATCTACCTCTGTACCTGACAGCTGGCCATATTGCAAATGTTTGCTGTCTGAATTTGTCAAGTAACCCATCGCCATGGCACCAACGGTCAAAAAGCATCCCTGAGCAGAGGGAGAGGAAAGATACACATGCAGGAAAATGACAAGAGAAAGTTTGCAGAGAAGCCTAAAAGAGAAGATCAATTCCTCTAGAAGTATTTTGGGAACTTTGTGACAGAGTTGCCATGTTTCCGGCTCTGGCGTGGGCTCCCACCCAGGACCAGCCTTACCTTGGTTGTGGGGGCTGTTAGGCCCACACAGGATGCTCATGAAGCAATGTTGCAGTGGCAGGCGCAGCCTGAAAGCTTCCACAAGGCCTGCTTATCAATGAAATTAGACTCTAACTTCATCTGTTGTTACTCTTCTCCTGTCTTCCTGGTGTCTGCAACTTGATTTTCCCATCCCACCATCCTTAGGCTGGTGGGTCAGCCGTCCCATGAACCAGTGACAGCTCTTTGCTCCCACCCTCCCTCGGGCCATAGGCACCAGGCCTGGTGACTGAGCGTGGCATCTAGGGGAGCATGGGTGGTTCCAGTTTCTTCTCACCCCTCCCTGAGAGCCTGGTAGGTGAGTGGTCTGAGGAGACTCTGTGAAGAGCTGACACTGTTCTGGTGAATCAAGACGGCTGCTACGGCCACTCCTGGGGCTCAGTGAGGAGCAGCTTTCTTGAGCACTGGGCCCTGTCTGAATCCCAAGAGAACAGCAGACACCTACCCTGTCTTGGCCTGGGAGAGAAGTTTCCCCGGAGTCAAGACCCCTGCCTGGACTCCCAGGAGTCAGGTGAAGAAGCCTCAGACTTCTATGCAACCAAGAGTCATGACGTAAACAAATTCCCATAAGCTGCTTATCTGAGGTGGGGACTCCAGATGCCAGGGCCATGGGTGGGCAGGGCTCACTGGGGAAAGCCACCCTCTTTTTTTGTGTGTGTGGCAGAAACTTCTGGGAAGTGGCCAGTGTGGCCCTGTTTGTGGACTTCCCAGCTCAGAGGCTGCACAGGGTCCTCTCACTCCTCTGTCAACTGGACATGTCACCCTGCACTCCAACCTGGTCCCTATGTCCTGAGGCCCCAGCCTGGCACTCAGGAGGGAGTGAGTCCAGAGGAGGCTGAATCAGAGGAACCAAGCGGCTGCTCGCGGGCTCTCTCTGATTTTGTTCTGTTGATGCGTCACCTTCATTCCAGCCTGGACTGGATAGTTGAGGCAGGAACTCTGTCAGGGGATGATGACTCTTCCTCTTTTTAGAGAGCCCAGGGCACTGCCCTCTCACAGGCGTATTGCAGGGCCCTCAGTCCCAGGACAAATCCTCTGTGGGGCCCAGAGCGTTTGTTCTGGGGGAGTCTGAGGGGCTGCCAGGGTCCCCCTGGGGAGACATGTGCTCAGTACAGGACACGGGCCTTCCTGGGCCATGATGCCAGGGTGGGGGTGGGGGGGGAGGGTGGATACATGACAGGGCCCTTGCTTTCTGGCCTCCTTCAGTAGGCATCTTAGAAAATGCCATCTCTGTCTTTGCTTGGGTCCCTGCTCTCTGGCACCCGCTCAAAGGCAACTGACCAGGAAGCAGGGGCTTTGTTTACCAGGTGGCACCTGCCTATCTGCCCTAGCCAAAGTCCGTCCTCAATTCCTGACCCCACCCTTTTTAAACCTGCACTGACCCTTCACCTTTTTTTCTCCCAGGGACCCCTCCACCCTCTTCCAAAAGCAGGAGAAGGGGGAGTCTCCCTGTTAGCCAGCAGGGGGCACTGCTGCCACAGGGTCAGAGCTCCCAGGGGCGAGGACTTAGGGGAGTGGAACCACTCACTAATCCCCTGGGAACACAGGTGGACCTCAGGGCGGACTCTGGTCCTGCTGGACAAGAGAAGGATGATGGTTTGATAGACACACCCATCCAGCAGTGGAGGCACCCCTATCCAGCCTCCCCTGCGTGTTGCGCCCGCACACCCAGGGTGCAAAGGGCAGGACCCAGGAGTCTTGGATATACTGTTTCAGGTTCTAGCTATGGGCAATGGTGACTGGGCATTCCTGGGGCAGGCTGGGACATTTTCAACCTCCTGCCCTACTCTTTTCAGCTCAACACCTTCAGCTCCCCAAACTCATAATCTAGACAAAGCCAAGGCCCAGAGTCTGGCCTTGGCCCCAAATACAGGCATACAAACTGTGTTAGCAGAGTGGGGGCCTCTCTATTCTTTTCCCAGAATGGGGAATTATGGAGGGGCATCAGAAGGGTCCTGCTTCGGGGCACGTGGGGGGCTCAGTCAGTTAAGTGTCTACTTTTGGCTCAGGTCATGATCCCCGGGTCCTGGGATGGAGCCCCCACATCGGGCTCCCTGCTCAGCGGGGAGTCTGCTTCTCCCTCTGCCTCTGTCCCAACCCCTGCTCGTGCTCTCTCGCTCTCTCAAATAAATAAGTAAAATCTTAAAAAAAGGAGGAGGAGGAGGAGGAGGAGGAGGAGG